TTATTTATTTATTTTTATGTGGTGCTAAGGATTGAACCCAGTGTCTCACACATGCTAGGTAAGCACTCTACCACTGAGCTATAACCCCAGCCCCTCAGTGTAGTTTTAATTTGCATTTCTCTATTTGCTAGAGATGTTGAACATTTTTTTTCATATCATATATTAGTGACCATTGTATTTCTTCTTCTGCGAAATGCCTATTCACTTCCTTTGCCCATTTATTGATTCAGTTTTTTTTTTTTGATGGTGTTTTTTGAGTTCTTTTTTTATTTTATTTTTTTTCCTCAGTGTGAATGAGTTTATCAGAAGACATCAGAGGACAGGTCTCTCCCAAACCTAGAGTTCAGGTGTGATGGCCTAGAGGAGGCTCAGTCAGTAGGTACTAACTGGGTACAGCTGCAAGAAGACTCTGACCCAGAGCCCAGCAAGAAGTGGTGAGGAGGAATGGGGATGACAGAAGGGTTCTTCCACTTCTAAGAACACAAGCTGGTGTCCTGCCTTTGAAAGCCATGATTTTTCTCATATTTGGGACCAAGCATGGCACACAGCCTGTCTCCATGGGAGCAGTTCTTGCTTCGTCAACTCCCCACAGGAGAAGGCAGCCCCAGAGGGAAATGATGAAGCTGAGAGCAGGCTCCCTTCCTCCTCCTGCCAGGAAGGACACACCAGGCCTGGCCTCAGGCCCATTTCTTGCTTTTGCTGCACCCCCAACCATTGGAAAATTGGCAGAGAAGGAAGTGGGAGAGGGAGTGTTACTCATAGAACCATACCTTTGGGTCTCTCCTATCCCAGCCTGCAGGCTTGGATATAGGGTGTTGAAGAGGGAAAGGTCCATGTGGGACGTGGAGGGCCACAAGGAGAGACCCATGCCTTTTCTCCTCATTCTGGTGAAAGACATCTTTGATCTCAGATGCTAGCTGTTTAACCCCTGGGGACTATGTCTGGTTTTCCTGGACAGAGGGAGGATGGCATGTGCATAAGTGCAGGGCCAACACTGCCTTGAGCCCAGCAGGGAGGAGTGGGATCAAGGGTCAAAGCCTCATGATCCTGTAGTCTCAAAGCCACTTAGAGTAGCAGAGAGTTGGGCATGCCTGAGCTGGATGAGGGGCTGCAGAGGGGAGTAAAAGTGGAGCAGGGATCCCCCAGCACCCCCTTCAGAACTACCCCACCACTACATCAGCAGACTGTGGGAAAGGAGCCAATTTATGAAATTAAATAAAGTCCATGGGGGGGAATGAAGATCACAGGCCAGGGTACCTTGACCCTGGCCAGGTCCAGCACAGCTAGAGCTCAGCACCCCCCTTCCCACCCCTCCCACAAAGGGTCTTAAATAAGCCAGGCGAGGGCCTGGCATCCAGGGGTCCCAGAGCCTGGGTGGGGGGACAGAAGTCAGAGAATTAGGGGTATTGCAGGGCCTCCTCCGCTGAGACATGCTGGACAGGGTTACACTTCAGGAGATTCTGCAACAGGCCCCTCCCTGTGGCATTGAGCTTGGGCACGGCATTCACCAGGGATGTTGTGGCGGGGTACATTGGGTAGGGCTTGTAGTCTGGCAGCTTAGTCATGGCGGGCCAGTGCTCCTCAGATGGTGTCCCCAGCAGCTGGAAGATCCTCTTCAGCTGGTCATCTACATCGTTGCCAAGGAAAAAAGGTTGCCCAGCATTGGCCAGCTCGGCAAAGATGCAGCCAGCTGACCACATGTCGATGGATGTGAAGTACAGTTTGGCCCCAAAGAGGTCATCCGGTGGACGGTACCACAATGTCACCACCTCAGCAGAGTAACAGCGGACTGGGATCCTAAAGGCTTGAGCCAAACCAAAATCAGCCAACTTCAGCTCCCCATTTCTGTTTATGAGGAGGTTCTGGGGCTTCAGGACCCTGTGAAACACGTTGCGGCTATGACAGAATCCCAGGCCTATCAGCAGCTGGAAAAGGAATGACTTCACAATCTCAGGATCGAGGTCACCATTGCAGTTGTCAAAATACTTCTTCAGGTCCTGATCACAGAACTCAAAAACCAAAGTCAGCTCCTTGTCACTATGCAGAGCATCATGAAGCCTGATGATGTTCTTGTGCTTCAGCTCCTTGAGTAGGCAGATCTCCCTCAGTAGGCAGAACTCGGCACACCCTCATTATCATCATCCAGCCTCACCCGTTTCAGAGCCACAATCTCATGGGTCTCCCAGTTTGGGGCCTTGAATACAGTTCCATAGGTGCCTTCCCCAATCTTCTCCAGTTTCTCATATTTCTGCATTGCAGTGGCCACAGGAACCCCTGTAGGCCCTGGGTTCTAAGACTCCAGCCCCTTGAGTTCTTTATATATCCTGGAGATTAATGATCTATCTGAGGTGTAGATGGCAAAGATTTTTCTCCTGTTCTGTAGGCTCTCTCTTCACGTTCTTGATTGTTTCCTTTGCTGTGAAGAAGCTTTTTAGTTTGATACCATCCCATTTATTGATTCTTGATTTTACTTCTTGTACTTCAAGAATCTTGTTGAGAAAGTTGGTTGCTAAACCAATACAATGGAAAGCTGGGCCTACACTTTCTTCTAGTAGCTTCAGGGTCTATGGTGGTATAATGCCTGGGTCCTTGATCCACTTGGAGCTGAGTTTTATGTAGGGTGAGAGATAGGGGTTAAATTTCATTCGGATATTATGGATTTCCATTTTTCCCAGCACTATTTGTTGAGGAGGTTATCTTTTCTCCAATGTATGTTTATGGTGCCTTTGTCTAGTATGAGATAAATGTATTTATGTGCATTTGTCTCTGTCTTCTATTCTGTTCCATTGGTCTTCATGTCTGTTTTGGAGTGCTCACCTTTTCTTAAGCTATCATGGGTGCATCTCTTTTCCTTGCAGTCAAAAGAGACTGAGAAACTGATGTGACTCCATTTTAGGAAAACCAGCCTCTACCTCAGATCAGGGCCTGTCCAAAGGGGGGATGACCCTTGTTCTTGGAAAACCCACAGAGCGTTCCTAGGCACAAGCTACCGTGCTGAGTTATTTGTCTGTAAAAAACAGGAGAGGTCTGAAGGGCCAGATGTCCCTGACTCAGCAAACTAGTTCTTGGAAAGACCAAAGAATGTTTGAGGCCTAAGACCTGACCGTGATGACCCAAGCAACCCCCTAACATCAACTAATCAGCGTGAGACAGGGAAGATACCTGGAAGGCCAGGTGACCCCCCCACCCCCAGTAGTCTCAGTAATTGATAACATGTTAGGAAGCTGTGTGGTTTAGCACGTACACTCTTGCAACCCCTTGTGGCTTAAACCAATCAGTTCAAATGTATCCACGCCTTTTGAACTCACCAATTACCCTTATCCAACTTGTTCCCGCCAATGAATGTGATAATCAATGTTAAGAGTTGTTGTTTGATTTTCCTGCAGTATGGAATGATTTGCTGTGTGATGTTGTGACACATAGAGTATCCCCCCAAAACCTATAAAATCTCACTGAACAAAAGACCAGGGCTCACTCCTCAGGACCGCTGCATTGGAAATGGTTGTGAGTCCAGGCTCAAGCTTGCAATAAAGACTCTTGTGTGCTTGCATTGGATTCAGCTCCTGATGGTCTTTCGGGGTCCCCCAGATCTGGTATTACAAGACTAGGCTACAACAGGAGCAATGGTTTGTCACTTTATGAGGTAAAAATACTTCTTATAAAACAGTGTGGGGGCTGGAGTTGTGGCTCAGTGGTAGTGTGCTCGCCTTGCATGCATAAGGCACTGGGTTCCATCCTCAGCACCACATAGAAATAAAATATATTGTGTCCATCTGAAAAAAAAAACAAAACTTAGAGTGAAGGGCTGGGTTGTGGCTCAGTGGTGGAGTGCTTGCCTAGTGTGTATGAGGCACTGGGTTTGAGCCTCAGCACCACATAAAAATAAATGAAAATAAAGGTATTATATCCATTTACAACAAAAAATATTTTTAAAAAACCCCACAAAACTTAGTGTGGACCCCTAAGTACACACTTGTAATCCCAACTACTCAGCAGGCTGAGGCAGGAGGATCACAAGTTTGAGGCTGGCCTAGGCATCTTAGGCTCTGTCTCAAAACAAAAACAAATATAAGCAAACAACAACAACAACAAAACTCAGTTGATCTTCTTAGAAATGAACTTACATACTCAAAATTATGTCCACATGTCACTAAGCAAAAATTGACTAGACCAATTTTTTAAATTGCAATAATGGGGATTAAACAGAAGAGCACACTACCACTAGTATATGGTCATCACAGGACTGATGAACAGTTTAAAAGCTTTGGAAAGTAAAATAGTGAATTTTGAGAAAAATGGAGAAGAGTTCATGGACATTGATGCTCAATGTGGCCACAGGAAGAAACATACAAATCCTTAAATCTGTAAACATTTAAGGTCATGAGCCTAGCCAAGATGTCCTTAAGTATTATTGGTTTTATTGTGCCCACCTCCCTGTCCCCCCCCCCCAATTCATATATGGAAGTGCTAACTCCCAGTGTCTCAGAATGTGACCTTATTTGGAAATAGGGTCATCACAGATGAAATTAGTTAAGATGAAGTCATACCAGAGTAGGGTGGGCCCCTAATTCAATACAACTGCTGTCCTTATGAAACAGGGGAAATTGGACACAGATGCTGGCACAAGGAGAATGTTATGTGAAGATGAAGACAGAGGTCAAAATGATGCTTCTACAAGCCACGGTTGTAAGATTCCCAGCAAATCATGAGAAACTAGGGGATAGGCAGGGAATTGATTCTCTCTCACAGCCCTCAGAAGAAACCAACCCTGTTGAATCCTTGATCTTGGATTCTAGCTTCCAGAACTGTGAAATACATTTATGTTGTTTAAATTTCCCAGTCTGTGCCCAAGCTCAGATATTTACATCTATGTGTGCTTTCCTTGAACCAGCTATAATGTAATAGCGTCTGCCAAGTATGCTTCCAACAGCAGGTCAAACAATGTGAAAGCTTAAGAATCCCAACTAGTATAGTAAGTTGTTATCTTGTTTTGTTTCCCAATTTGTTTCCTCTAACTTACAAAACAAACACTCAATTTGCCTGAGCTTTCAAAGGACATTTTCTTTGCTCCACTTAAATAATCAATAAAGACATTTCACCAATTAGCAAAGTGAAAAGGAGGTGAATATGGTAGTATTAGATCCAACCAACTACAACCATGTAAGTAAAACTAATTTTCCTACTTAGGTCTGAGTTTTTTTTTTTTTAAAAAAAGTGGTTTGGAATTACTTAGCTATTTCACCTTAGCATGACTTTAATAAATAATAATAATCTCTATACATTGATTATAATGGATAAGGAACATTTCTAAGTACCTAATGCATATCAGGAGATAATAACTAGGAGAAAATAACTATTATTATTTAAATGTTAAAGATGAAGAAACTGATACTCAAGAGAATTGTCTATAAATGCAGTCAGTCAGTAATGGAGCTGACCTCAGACCCTAGTTTGCCTTAGCACAGAATTCATATTCTTTGTTATAATGCTCTTCTGCTTTCTGAATGGGTTCAGGGTCTCACATAAAGAAAGCTCATGGAGTATTAGATTCATCCCCTTGTCTGACTTGGTCTATTTCCCCCACCTCAGCACTAGGAATTGAATCCAGGATTTTGCACTTGGCTAGGCAAATGCTCTACACGGAGCATCCTCAGTCCTATCTATCTATCTGTCTATCTATCTATCTATCGATCCATCTATCTATCTATCTATCTATTTTAGTACCAGGGATTGAACCCAGGGGCACTTTATAACTGAGCTACATCCTCAGTCCTTTTGTTTTTATTTTGAGGGTCTTGCTCAGTTGCTCAGGCCTCAAACCTGAGATCCTCCTGCCTCAGCCTCCTGAGTCACTGAGATTACAGGTGTGTGCCACCAAGGCCTACTGATTTAATCTCTTTGCAACCGACATAAAAACTCTTGCTCATTCTGCCTGAATTTTCCAACTCAAGATGAAAAAACAGTAACTGGCACACAGTAAGTGCTCAGTAAGCGTTAGCTGTTATTAATGTTGTGTTGTAGATGTTCTGTCTGGCAGTAGAAAGCATTATTCATAACTCCCCTATTGTTATCTGTGGGTACTTTGAAATGTTATTGGATGACCACTAGTAGGGTAGGAACTTGGAAGGTAAAGTTGATCCAGGAAAAAGGGGAGAAGCAAAAGTGGAGAGGCTGAGGCTAGGGCCGTAGAAGCAGGAATGTGACAGAGAAAGCAGTTGGCAGAATGCCAGGCTCCACTTTGTCTTTGGTGTGGCTGTCTCTGGGGGTTGAGCAGTGGGGGTGGGGGTGATAGCCCCTCTACTCCTGATTGGTCAAGTCACCTTGCTTTATGCTTTATTTCCTCCCTTCTTGGGTAATGGGGAGTCTGAAGCTTGTGGTTACATGAAGCTTCTTGGAATTCTTCCAGAAAGAGGGGAAACATATGAGGTCCTGGCACACAAAGATTCAGCGGGTGAAGCAGTCAGTGTGAGGACAGAGTGATTATGCACATGATCGGCACCATAGTGAGGCTGGAGGTCTTTGAATTTAGGTGTAAATCCCAGCTTTCCTACTTCAGCAACTTTGTGATGGTGAGCAGGTAACTTACCTGCCTGAGTCTAATTTCCTCTTCTGTAATTAGGATGATAAATAGCCCTTACTGTATAGGCATTTTATGAGGGCTTTGCCAGATAATGCATTTGCATGCTTAGCATAGTGGCTAATAAATAGCTGTTATTATTGTTATTAAGTGTTAGACTTTGACTTCCTCTCTGCCTAAATGTGTGGATTGCCCAGTCTCTTCCTCTCCCTTCTGTTTCCCCCATCCTGAGCATCTGGGTCAAATGCCCCTAGATACCTTTCCTTTTCCCTGGACCTTCCAGTGGGCTTGGCTGTCTGACACTTCTGGGCAGCCCCAGGACAGTGGAAAGCATCCTTTCATGACTTTAGGGTGGCTTTTTTGTTCCAAAGCCCAGGAAGAATTGATAAAAGCCTTATCTGAATCACATTCCATTACTGGGATTAAATCAGACTTGCTCTGAGGACTTCTAGCTGCTATTCCAGGCTATATGCCGGCAGCTCCTGATTATTGCCTTTGGCCCAATCTGAGGTCATCACACTTCTTTATGCCCAGGGGACTTTCACAGGCTGGGGCAAGGAGAGGTTTGGGCAGCCAGTGGGGATTAGTTTCAATTAGCAAGCACTGCCTGAGTAGGAAGGTTTACAGCCAGGCACACCCTAGGCACTAAGGGGGAGGAAATAGGAAAGACCCAGACACTTACTCAGCCAACTCTAATCTGAGACGGCAAATAATGAACTGCATGAGTGCGGTAAACAGGGATGCAGATCAACAAACGGAGTTGTTAATGGGGCAATGGGAGAGTGTGTGATTGATTGCAGGGTGGTTGCTAAATTTTTCTGAGCCTCATTACTTTATCTTTGAGTTTGGAATATTAACATTTACTTCAAATGATTATTTATTTATTTAGGCACTGGAGATTGAACCCAGGGACATTTTATCACTTTGTTATATTCCCAGCCCTTTTTAATTTTTGAGACAGGTCTTTGCTATTGCTTAGGGCCTTGCTATATTGCTGAGGGCCTTGCTAAATTGCTGAGACTGACCTCAATCCTCCTGTCTCAGCTTCCTAAATTGCTTGGATTACAGGCATGCGCCACCACACCCAGCTACAAAAGGTTAATTTAGGGCTGGAGATGTAGTTTAGTGGTAAAGCACTTGCCTAGCTTGTGTGAGGCCTTGAATTCAATCTCAAGTACCAGCCCCCCTCCAAAAAAGAGTAAATAAATAAAAGGTTAATTTAAATGGTAATGTACGATTAAAACAGGGTTTTACAGAGAAACTTGGATTTGGATCTTTTCTTGGCCACCCACTAGCTTTGTGCTGTTGCCATTAACTTCTCAGAGCTTCAGTTTCTTCATGTATGAAAAGGAGGAAAAAACACCTCCCTGCCTAGGTTATTGTAAGGGTTAGAGAAAATTCAGCATATAAAATAGTTGGTGGCTACGTGTATGTGCACACATCTCCCTAATTACTCATGATAAATGGGAACTCTGAACCAGACCAGGCCAAGGAGTGTGCCATTTACTGAAACAATGAGTTTTACAAAAGAGAAAGAGTACACACATGTGGCAGACGAACATGAGGAGGTGGGAGCCCCAAGTCTCAAATCAACCTTCCATGAGGATAGGGTTTTTCTGGGACAAACAAACAGGGTAGTCTGAAGCCTGGGAAAAGTGATTGGCAATAAGGAAGAAAAATGAAGTGACCGTGGTCTGCTCATGAGAAATCAAACTTCAGCCCTCTTTCATAGGACACATGTTCAGAAAATGGTTGCATTAGTGTGCTCTGAGAATGGAGTTTTTAGCCCATCAGATACTTGCTTAGGCCTAAGTGAAGGGTCCATGGTTTCAACTGATTTGAGCTATCTCCCAATTTCTGAAAGACAACTTAGAAGCAATCACTATCATCATGATCAATGCTACAGCAAAGCTAATGTGACCTTTAAAATTGGTGAGAAAGGGGCTGGGGATGTGGCTCAAGCGGTAGCGCGCTCGCCTGGCATGCGTGCCGCCCGGGTTCAATCCCCAGCACCACATACCAACAAAGATGTTGTGTCTGCCGAGAACTAAAAAATAAATATTAAAAATTCTCTCTCTCTCTCTCTCCTCTCTCACTCTCTCTTTAAAAAAAAAATGGTGAGAAAAATCAAATGAATCTGGGGTTTATTCAGGATTTTTTTCTTCTTAAGGCACGATGGATGGGGGTGGTCATCTTCAATTGAACAGACCCTCAGTGAAGGTCACAAAGCCATCTTCTGTGTGATATATTCACTGTGGAGATGTTTATGAAATCTTGGTCATCCTGAGGCCAGCCTCAGCTTGGAGGGTAGATCATGAGGAAAAGAGAAAGGGGGACTTCATTAGCCTCCAACATTCAGGTAAGCCTCAGGGTAGTCATGTGTAAATTATAAGCTGTCTGGGAGGCTCTCCAAAGACAGGGAAGCTTAAATGCTCAGTAGCCCAGAGGCCCCAGCAGAGACTCAATCCTACCTACATCTAAGATACTGGCTCAAGAACACTTGCCTAGGCAGGCGAGGTGGTGCATGCCTGTAACCCCAGCAGCTGAGGCAGGAGGATTGAAAGTTCAAGGCCAACCTCAATAATTTAGCAAGGCTCTAAGGATTTAGCAAGACTCTGATTCAAAATAAAACATAAAAATGGGGCTGGGGATGTGGCTCGGTGGTCAAGCAACCCTAGGTTCAATCCCCAGCAACATAAAAAAATTATAAAAAATAAAAATAAAAAAGGGCTGTGAATGTAGGTAAGTGGTAGAGTACCCCTGGATTCAGTCCCAAGTCCTGCAAATAATAATAACAACAATAATAAATTTAAAGAAAAAAATAAAAGGGGGCTGGGATTGTGGCTCAGTAGTAGAGCACTTGCCTAGCATGTGTGAGGCACTGTGTTCGATTCTCAGCATGCCATGTAAATAAATAAATAAAAAAAATAAAAGATCCACCAACAACTAAAAAATATTTTTTAAAATTAAAAGTAACCTCTTATAAATCAAGTTTTATTTATTTACTTATTTGTGTGTGTGGTGCTGGGGATTGAACCTAGGGCTTTATGCATGAAAGGCAAGTACTCTACCAACTGAGCTCCATAAAAACAGGGTTTGTAAAGTGAAAAAACAAAAACAAAATTGCAGGGACACACTCCTGTTATTTCCAGGTACTCTGGACTCTGAGGCAGGAGGATTAAAAATTCAAAACCAATCTGGGCAACATAGTAAGTCTTTGTCTCAAAAAGAAAACAACAGACAGGGCACGGGGTGCATGCAGGTGCACACCTACAATCCCAGCAACTCAGAAGGCTGAGACAACAGGATCCTAAATTTGAGCCTAGCCTCAGTCATTTAGCAAAGCCTTAAGTAACTTAGTGAGATCCTATCTCAAAATAAAAATTAAGAAAAGGCTGAGGATATACTCGGGGATAATGTTCCCCTGGGTTCAATCCCAAGTACCAAAAAGGAAAAGTGTGGGGGGAACCCCAGCAAAACACACGCGCACACACACACACACACACACACAAAAAAAAAAAACTGCAGCAGTTCTTGGCCTTTTGCT